ATATATATATATAGCTCGTTTATTATATATATATATATATATATAAGGAAATCGTACAGGATGATGAAATTTATTCCAAGATTATGTTGCCGGCATGATAGTGGGTAAAATGTGATAAGTGATGCTTTACAGAAATAGGGGAGAAATATTGTTTCGTTTCCAAAAGTATTTTAGCATCTTTTTTTGCACAGATTAAAAAGCAATAAACGAAGCCGTTCAAGCCTGCAAATACACCGTCTTCTAGCATCTACTTCATCCTTAGCAACGATTTTCAGTGGATGATACTTCATTTTTCGAAATGAATTTTGACCTTTCCTTCAATTAACGTTTATTAAAGTAAAATATTCATATTGCTTCTTTTTTTACGAAATGACGTATTAGTTGAACCAGAATGGCCCAAACTCTAAAACAAAAGTAAAATTTGTTTACCGTGCTGAGGAGAATGTAAGTGGAGTAATCGGTGCAGTCCTACGGAACACATCGTTAGACTGAGTCTACCAGCTAAAAGGAGGATAGGCAGCTCATCCTGGAAAAAAATAAAGCAGATTTCCTTTCGAAGCATCTTTCTTGGATGGAATAAATAATGAGTAACAAGCATGAAAGCTACCGTATAATCCATTGAGAATGTGATGGTACTATAAGGAGGGAAAGGGGTGGAGGGAATGCTGCGAAAATGGCATGTTACAGAATCAGAGGACAAATTTGATTGCCTGACTTAAACAGATCCTTCTCCATCACACTTTACCAGAATGCGTTGTTTTTGAGAATTTCAGCTAGTAAGCTCAAATGCAGTGCATTCAATCTACCATCGTTCGTAGCAAACGTTTTTGAAAGTACTGAAATTGGGAGAATATAATTAACAAATTAAAGTGGATCAATATAACATATAGGAACTATCATTCGTTAAGAAAGCTTGATTGGTTAATGAGAGACGGGATTCTTTTTGTTAAAAGTTGACTCTTTAATGGCTAGTTATCCTTAAATCTTAAGCCATTACAATATATTTTTCCAAGAAAATTCCCTCCGAGGCTTGGAAGCCTTGATTGAGATATTGGGTAGTATATATTGTTAACAAAAAGTACACTAAAAAATTATGAGAACCATTTTTTAAATATATTATTTTGCGGATAAATTATATCGCAGATATTCCCCAATAGAAAAATTAAATCATAAATGATTTGCATTGTATTTGAAGTAAGCAGTTGTAAGTTTAATTTTGGATTCCTTTTAAACTGCAATTTATCTTTCAATCAACAGGAAACGAAGTCAAATTTCTCAAAAATCAAACTCAAATCTGGAAAAAGTTGATTTTAGATGAGTAGGAAAGTATTCACGCAGTGATTTTTAAGAAATTGCTCAAACTCAAACTTTCTTGGGTTTACCCGAGCAGATCTGATGAAATTTAAGTAAACATTTGCTTACATAAAGTGATACAAATGCTCTTATAAAGCTAAATGAATTATAAAATATTTTCGTATAATTTCCCGAAAAATTAATTCGGTTCTTTGCTATAACTATAATTTCTTTAGAAAGGTAATCAGTGGCAAACGGAACAGATATTAGTTGTTGCATTTGCAAAAGACTTCATGAGTGTTTGCTATGTTACTGTTCATATGCCTTTTGTGATATTTTTTACTTTGTGTTGAGAACACATTTGTTATACATTAAAGTTTGTTAATTTTAGAACCTCAAAAAGGAAACTATTCAAACTAACCAGTCAGAAATCAGTCATCGAAATGAATGACGCAGTGAACAATATCATCATTTATTAAATCGTTATAGTTCTGTTAATGAGAAACCTGATTGTCATTTCATTTTTAAATTCGCTTTCAATAATATGTCGAGTATCGAACTGATTAATCACTGATTTCTTTATATTTGTTCTTCTTTCTTTTGTTAAACGACAAATAACATTGTCTTTTTGGCGATTTTAAAATGAATAACGAAATAACTCATTGAAAATGCATATCGTCGCTAAATGCACGTTGTAATTCTGAATTAGAACTAAGTGGTTTGAAGAAGTTCAAGTTTTTTTGCAACAGCTACTACTTTTCATAATATACTTATCCTGTTAGCACCTGAGACAAACAGTTATATTGAATTTACCCAATTACGACGGCGTGTACTTCAGGAAATCGTGTTACATTCTTGCCAATTTGACTCACTTGCCATAACCACTTAGCCAAGTAATTTCTCTTCACTCTGATGATCTCTTAAACAGTTGAAATTCAATTAAATGCAATACATTCTACATTGTGTTTCAGAACACTTCCTTGCTGTAGATTGCTCATAAATTGCAATTTTTGCTGAATCATTACGGATTTCCAAGTTAAGCATAAATTCAAAAGGAAGCACTAATCATAATATGTTTTACCAATCACTCTTAATATTAGTCCCTTGATTCCACTGTTCATAACATGTGGTTCTGAATTATTTTTTAGTTTTCAATATTCAGCTTACTGTAAGCAAAAGAACTGCAGCATTTACAGAAGCCGAAGTTTTTATGCATAATTTTTGCGCGGCCATGTTGTTTAAATACTTGAAAGGGAAATATTTTTTGGTCGGAAATGAAATGATCTATTACTGTTAAGCAGCATAATCGACCAACTCATCAAAACAATCACAGAACATTTTGCTGGTTTACGACTTATAATAACTGTTGCCAATTATAGAGTCTTGTTCTTTGTTTCAGTAATCGAGTCTCTTTCAGTAATTGATAAATAATCTTTGCCCAAAAGGATTGGTAACGGCCAACAGAATAATCGCTGATTTACCAGTTTTCTTCGCCTGTAAAGTTCTTGTCTGCATACACCGCATAATGAATTCTGTGATGAAAAAATCAGGAAAATCAGGAATCAGCCTGATGCTAAAGTATATTATTCAATTGTGGCAAAAATTAATAACGTATTCTGCAATGTAGTTAACAACACTATTACCACAATAAGTGTCATTTGAAAGTTGAATATCGGTATCATCACAAATCACTGCAATGCATGCAGTGTCAGCAAAATTTAACAATAAAAATTCTAATTTGTAGAACGTGTCATCTCACTTATAGTCTTTGTTTTTGATGTCAGACTGACGATTTAATTGCATTATTTTTTGGTGAGATTGTTATTTCGCACACAGATCAGTACTCTTAAGTCGCAGTTCTGTTTAATTGCACATAGTGTGTATGACTTTTAGGTTGAATGGAATTGTTATTTTGTTCTGCATTCGAAATTTTTCGTTTACCAGATTAAGAAAATTTGTTACCCAAAAGTCATGTGTATATTTAACCATAGGTTTAAAAAGTATTTGGGAAAATATTCTTCAGCAACATTACTCTTCAAAGAAAAAATTTGATTTACTAGCACCACTGAATTAGAACGCCACTACGAATGAAATCTTGCATGGTTGATAAACAATTAGGCTATAGAACAAAAAATTGAATATTTAGTCTACTTGTAATTTCATCGATTTCCTTCTCTGCATCTCGATGAATTTGATACTTTTCCGTTCTTTTCACTCTTGCTCATGACGTTGCCACGCGCACTACAGAAACACATGACGAGAATTGCTGTATAATAAATATCTTGCCTGAAGTTTGCTTTTACAAATCATAACATTTCATTCACTAATTCATATCTCTCAGAACTCCGATACGCTGATAGTAACCTTTATTAGTCTTATATGACATGGTACAATATCGCACTGAAACAATAAAAAGGATGAAATGAACAATACACAATAATTATTGAAAGATTCCGGATGATCTTGTTGCTCGTGCTGTTGAACTGTCGTATTGCCGCTTGCTTCTCTGCCGTTGAACCGTTGTTGTGGTTGAGTGCCTGACTGTGCTGTTTCCTTGAGCGCTTGCGCGAGCTGTTGGATTGAGAAACTGCGGGAGCTGTCAGACTGACTGACCGCTCGAGTTTTTTGGATTTTGTAACTGCTCCTCCGGATGATTGATCCTAGCTCCTTTTATAGTGGGAGTGATTTGACATTCCAAACGTATTGGTTTAATTGCCAAACTAGAGATTTTTACAAAATTTCGACATTTGCCCGTAAGTTCTTTACAACATTCCGACAATTGCATGTAAGCTTGATTAACAGATTGGAAAAGGTTTACAACAAAGGACTTTGTCTGCAACATCTAAACATTGCAATTAAAATTGGTTAAAAATTTGGGAGAGCTGGATTTGGATAAATGGTTCATCACTTTAGGTATCGGAATATTCATTTTATTAATTTTTTTGTAACAAATCGCTTGTTTGAGAAATATTCTGAATTCCAATTAAAACAACCCATAACATTTTTTCGCCTACAGGGCCTAGGGCCAAGAAAAGATAGTCAAACCAGAACTCATCTACATTTCCACCCGGCTAACCGTGGTCAATGAGTATCTTCTGATGCGGTAGCACAGCGGTGGACGCCCTAATCTAATCGCCTAAAAACTATTGCGACCCAACATCGATATTGCTTGCATGCAGCAAGCTTCTACAGAAACTTCGAGACATCCAAAAAAAAAGGTGGATCAACCTAGCAGGAAATATTCAACTCCGAGTGACTACGAGGTTCTGAAAGCTATGTACCCACACACTATGGTCAAAGCTTTCTACTCAGCGCAGATAGTTAAACGCTTCTCACTGACAGAATCTCCATCCTGAATAGATGGTCTGAGTATTTCCAGATTCTCTTCAATGCCGACCATGCAGTCCAAGGCTCAATAATTCAGCACACTGCACAACAACCGGTGAAAAGCGAATTGGAATCCGACTATGACGGAGACGTTCACGGCCACACAGCACAGAAAACTGGCAAGGCAACTGGGATTGATGGTATCCCATCTGAGGTCTGGAAACACCTGCAATCATTATTACCCTATACAAGAACGAGTAAAATCGAACTGCTTAAATTACCGAGGTATCACCCTGCTTTTATTGCCAGCAAAAT